CTGAGTGTGAAAGATGTTTCTTGCAGGACTGCAACAGCAATAAATTGAAAATCGTCTACATGTCAAAAAATAGGTAAATGAATAAAAAATATACAATCATTAAAAATGAAAATAGTAAAGATTATGCAGACTTCTGCTTGAACAAGACAAATTAAACACAACAATTTACCTTCAATCCCTCCTGAAATCTCAACAAAATGAGACTAAGAGGATTGAAAAAAACCCTACAAAGACAAAAAGAACTGGAGAAGGAACAACAGCAGATCTGGAGTTCAAAACATTTTAGAAGCTGTAAAGCAGACTGATGTGACCTGAGAAAGCTGAAAGCCACATCTGGCACTGGAGGGGATAGAGGAGAAAAGTCACAAAGCAAGTCATTTTGCTCTGTAGAGCCCCAGAAAGCTCAGGAATGAAAAGTGCTAGATGCCCTTGAAGATGGGAGTGCAGGTGGGGTCAAAGCAGGAGAATTAGCTCAAAGCCCATAGTTAAGGACTCCCAGATTCCTGGCCCAACCTAGTACAGTTAGGCCACTACCTCTCCCCAGTGTGGCAGAAGACTAGATTGGGTCTTTCTGAGTGAACCAGAGGGACTTTAGATTTGAGGCACCAGGCAGAGCTGAGGGAGGTGAAGGAGGTTAATAAAAACAGGTGAAGTAAGTAAAAGCCTACATGTTACAACAAGGGAAAAACCTGTTACCTTCCCCACTCAGCTCTGAGAACACTGGCAGTCAGGCTTATGCTTCCCAGGCTAGAAACTAGAGATACCTCCTGGGGAAACTAAGCAGCCTAAAAGAAAAGAATCACAGACACTGATCAACCATGGACTCTAATGGAATAGTTGAGTTCCCTTATGATCATCAATGTCATACTTAAGAAAGCTCCAAGCCCCACCTCCCCAGAAAGCGCTCCAATGAGTTCTTTGTGCCTCACTCTTGAAAATGAACACCAACCAAAGATCACTCAAGGAAAACCAATAACTGGAAAGAGAATAAAATAAACAAATATTAAAAGGTACTCAAAAGAAGCAGAGATAATGCAGGGGGAAAAAACCTTCAAAATAACTAAAATGAATTAGTCTACATCCACGAAACAAGAAGATACTATAAAAAAAGAACATTCAGAGAATGAAAAGGAGCTTATGGAAACTACAAATGATAGCAGAAATAAAAAGTATACTATAAAGGTTGGAAGATAAAATTGCAGAAATCTCCCAAAAAGTGGAAATGAAAGACAGAAAGGCAGAAAAGGGAATGGAAAAAGATAAAAAACATTAAGAGGATCAGGCCAGGAGGGCCAATATCCAAATAACAGCACATTTCAGAAAAAGCGAACAGAGACAATGGAAGAAAGAAAATTAAATTTAAAAAAATGAAAGAAAATTCCCCATAACTTGAAGGAAATGACTCCACAGATTAAAAGGGCCTATATGCATTCAAATCAATGAAGAACAGAAGGCCTATACCAGGCATATCCTTATGAAATTTTAGAACATTGGAGATCTTAAAAGCTTCCAAAGAGAAAAAGAGATCAGGTACAAAAGATCAGAAATCCAGATGGTAGATATTATTCTAATTTAATCTAAATTATTCTAGATATTATTCTCAACAACAACATTTGAAGCTAGAAGACAATGCAGTAATGACTTCAAAATTTAACATCCAACTAAATTAGCAATCAAGTATTAGGGGAGAATACAGAAATTTTCAGATAGGCAGGGCATCAAAAAATATATCTCCCATGTACTCTTTCTCACTGAGCTACTGGAAGATATGCTCCACTATAACAAGGAAATAAACCAAGAAAAAAGTTATTGAAGCCAGAAATCCAACTCCTGAGAGAGGTCAACGTTAATTCCCAAGATGATGGTGAAGTAAAATCCCAGGATGACAGACTAGAAACCAGCAATCAGTTTAGACTGGAACATCAAGATGGAAAGCTCTAGCAAGAAGTAAAAAAAAAATCAAATGGATCAATTACCTGATATGTTGGAAATATTGAGAGATTTTAGATTTTTCGCTTTTGTAGAAGAGGTTGGAGAAGAATTAAAATAGACACAAAACAAAAATACAGCAATTATTAACTTCAGGGACAACAAAATCCATACACAAAAGGAAACTTAATTATAGTATATATATGGCCTAGCTGCAATTCTGTACATAGTGATAATATTAACGTTGAACAATTATTTGACCAAAACTCATGTTTTAACTACATTGGAAGAATTGTGGCTGTGGTAGATATGACATTAATAGGTAATATACAAAACAATATGCAATAATAAAAATAATCTTATTTGTTTGGCAATCTTAAGATAAATGACTGAAGAAATAGCTGAAAGAGAAAGTGGTTACCTCTGAGGAGTACAAACTAGGGTTGGGAAGGAATGGGACATAAGACTTATAAAATTATTTAACTTTTTAAACTATGTTTTACTGTGATTAAAATGAAAATTTACTTTTAAAAGATTTGGTAGCAATATTAAAAATGCTTATAAGATCTGGTCATGTAAAAAATTAGGAAACTATATTACAATTATGTAAAAACACTGGAACTAAATGTAAAATGGATATTAGTTAGGGCACTGGGCTTCCAGAGTGTTTGCTCCCTTTTATTTTCCACACTTCCTGTTAGTCATTTAATGAAAGTGTTAAAAAATTAAACTTTCAATAAAAACAGAGAATACCTAAGCCATTATTAGCAAACCTAAAAACATTTTTTAAAAACAACACTAGAAACATGTCAATGATAACTTAAAATCCTAGGTATCCCTCATAGGATATGGTGCCCACGGGCAAACCAAAAACAAATGAGAAGCTCTATACTTGAACATCTTTATGCAGATAAAATGGGGTTAATCTAATTATAAGGGCAGCAATGATAACAAAAGAGAAGTCATGGACCAGAATAAAAAGGTTAAAACAAATACCCAAGGTCATCGGAAAGGAAGCTGGAAACCATCCCCACCTCTATGATGGAACATTATAAGAGAACTGCTTGTCTATGAGCACCAGGTGTCTTTATTTAACAGCTTTTCCCTCTTTTTTTTAACAGCTTCTGCCTCTCCAGACCTGTGCCTATTTGCCACTCTCCAACCACACTGTTCACATAGAAAAAAACAGTGGTCAAGGACAACTGCTCTAATTCTCAGTACTGTGAAGTCTATCAAAATATTAAAATTTTGCACTGTAGATTCAGTACCTTGGTAAAAGATATTTCCCTTAATTTGTATACCAATAAAATCTCATTTTGCATATAATTGCAAAAACAGCCATGCAATAAATCTTATATTAATCAGCTGGGCATTCTCGTATTTTGGAAAACAGAGTAACATCTGTTTCTATTGGGAGGAAAAGAAATCCAACACCCACGGCAGGATAAAATTAAAATAATTTTCATATCCTCTTCATACATTTTCACAAGACATTAATATGCTCAGAAAACACTGCAGAGGAATGCTTGGGAGATGGAGAAAAATCTTACCAGATTATTTGTTACACAAAACTGTCCTTAGTTAAGATCCATCCTACAAGAACAGATTGTAAGGATTTAAAATATAATCATATGAAGAACAAGAACACATGGTTCTTAAATTAGTCATAAATGAAACTCAAATAATTTTCATCTATTGTTTTCCTTATTCCTATTCAGCAACACCCACTCCAGCTTTTTAAAGTTGGTCAAATGTTTTCTGTTTGGATACACTAAGATCAAAAGAGGAATATGTCTAATTTCAATCTTAGTCATGGATTGGCTTAGGGAGTTAATGCATATCTAATATTATTTATTTTCCATAGCTAAACTGCCAGAGGTAAAAGGATCTGTTCTCTTAAAAAATTAAGCTCAAAGTCACTCAACTAAGGAATAACCCCACATAAACGATTATTTTTAAAGTATTATTAATATTCAGAAAACATTTGCAGATTAAAAGCAAGCACACTTGCTGTGTTGAGTGCACTTAAACTGTGGTATTAAAATATGAAAGGTAGCACACGTGTGGTGACAGATACAAGCTAGACTGTTGGTGGTGAACATGCTACAGTCTACACAGAAACTGAAATATAGTCATGTATTGCTGAAATTTACACAATGTTGTAAAGCAATATGACCCCAATAAAATAATTTTTAAAAATATGAAAGGTAGGGGCCGGCCCAGTGGCGCAAGCGGTTAAGTGCTTGCGCTCTGCTGCGGCGGCCCAGGGTTCGCCGGTTCAGATCCTGGGTGTGCACTGACGCACTGCTTGGCAAGCCATGCTGTGGCGGCGTCCCATATAAAGTAGAGGAAGATGGGCGTGGTTGTTAGGCTGGGGCCAGTCTTCCTCAGCAAAAAGAGGAGGATTGGCAGATATTAGCTCAGGGCCGATCTTCCTCACCAAAAATAAATAAATAAATAAATAAATAAATAATAACAAACAAAAAAATATGAAAGGTAGTAACAACACTGTATAATTATTTACTATTTCAGAGAGCTCTGCTTAATAATACTAGGAATACAATTAACCTCTGCTCTATATATGAAGATTATTTACAGTTTGGATCTTGTGAAATTTTGTCATTTTTCTCTAATAAAAGAGTTTCTCAGGCTGGCCCCGTGGCTTAGTGGTTGGGTGCGCGCGCTCTGCTGCTGGCGGCCCGGGTTCAATCCCGGGCGCACACCGTCGCGCCGCTTCTCCGGCCATGCTGAGGCCGCGTCCCACATACAGCAACTAGAAGGATGTGCAACTATGACATACAACTATCTGCTGGGGCTTTGGGGGAAAAATAAATAAATAAAATTTAAAAAAAAGTTTCTTGAATTATAATACAGCAAATACAAATAACTATGTTTTAGTGAGTTATTTTTCTGTTTTGATTTTCTTAGTAGGCATTAAAATCTTTAAGTATAACATTAATCTATTATATATAAGTGATCTTTTGCTGGATCTAGACATTGAATAGGTAAATAATTGCATTTTAGGAAAACAGTCTGCCTAGAAACAATGGTTATACATTTAATGGGATTGTTTCTTTATTAAGACTTCTCAGAATTTATATTCTTTAACCAAGTATTCTCCAATCATGTCCTGCACTGACTCCTATCATGTAAAGAGCAGGCGACCTACTTTCAGAAAATCCTAGACAATATATTGTAGTAATTATCAGTACTAAAATATCCTCCTTAGAACATGACGCCCTAGGTACCTACCAAAATTGTAAGTCTTGTATGTCTTACAATATTACTGAGTATATTTTAAACCATGTGATACTACAATATAAGTTCTTAGCCGAAACACAAACTTGTGAACAAGATACATAAAATGAGTAAAAACTAAAAGGGAATACAAGATTTTTCTCTTCTGCACTGTTAATTGGATTCCTACAACTAATTCAGTGTTCTCATGTGGATTAATAAATTTATTGGCTAAAGCATGCTATTAGCTAAACTCTGGTCACTAATTTGGTCCCTTATGATTCAGTTAGCTTGGCATAGGGAACAACTGTTACACAAATGTATGCCCCTATTCACAAGGAAAGCTCAGTGAGTACATCTGGACGACCACTGGAATCCCAGCACCATACAGGAAAAACTTTCAAAGTGCATAGTGCTAGTCACAAACATCATTTTTATATACAAAAACCAACACAATTATTCCTGTGAAAAAAGATTTTGAGAAATTATTTTTTAAAGCACATCCTTTTATTTATTGCATACCTTTTCTATTTAAAATACACCTTTCTATTTATTTATTCTTTATATTAATACTTAACTTTATAAGCATCAAATAAGGCAAACTCAAAAATTTGATTAAAATATTGAAAAGGAAGTTATTGGTACAATGCTGTAATGAAGATAAGACAAGGAACTACGATATTACTTCTCAAAATAAACAGGACTTCAAAGCTCTATATAGGCAGAGCTCAACTTACAAAAAGGCAGAGTTCTAAAAGTCAATCTGTAAAAAGGTTATTAAAAACATAGAAAATAAATCCCCCCCCAAAGCAATGTCCTTTCTGGGGGTGATGGAAATGTTCTGTATTTTGGAGTCATGGTTACATGGAAATCTGTATTTGCCAAAACTTGTCAAACTGTACACTTCAAAGTTCCATTTATTGTTTGTATATAATATCTCAATAAATTTTGATTTTTAAAAAGATATCCTAAAAGGTGATTAGAGTATCATTCCACCAAAAAAAAATTAATACATATTTCTAGCTCAACACTGTAGCCCTGCACCATTTGAGCTACAGGTAATCACCATTTATATCAGTGTTTCTATGGGAAAATGAATTATGTGTTCTAAGCAGGTAATGGCATATATCCATTTTTTCCCTCTTCCAAAGCATTTCAAGGACTATGGTGGTTATTTCTGGGCACCTTAGCTTGTTAATTCTCTATCAGCATCACAAACAGTATTTCTCTACATCAACCATCCCTCAACTGTTCTAAATTGAAGGAAAGGGTAGATGCTATACAAGACTCTGAACATGTTCCTGCTCTTCATGTGTATAAGTCATACAACACTTGAACATTTCTATGTCAGGAAACGATAAAATGAACCACTCATCTACAAACTCAGATAAAAGCCAGCAAAATATAAAAATAGTCATAATGTTCTCCACTTTTTAGTTCATACAACACTACTCTGAACACTGTGAGATATGCAGTTATAATGATCTCTCCTCACAATATTTTTTTAAACATAGATAAGAAAACAACATAGAAAGACTAAATGACTTGACTAAAGTCACAAGTATAAGAGCTGGGGTTAAACTTCTCCTGATTCCCAATGCAGTGTTATTCCTACTATGACTTACATAGTGAGACTCATTTCTCATTTTTTTTTTTTTTTGTGAGGAAGATCAGCCCTGAGCTAACATCTGTGCTAATCCTCCTCTTTTTTTGCTGAGGAAGACCAGCTCTGAGCTAACATCTATTGCCAATCCTCCTCCTTTTTTTTTCCCCAAAGCCCCAGTAGATAGTTGTATGTCATAGTTGCACATGCTTCTAGTTGCTGTGTGTGGGACGCGGCCTCAGTATAGCAGGAGAAGCAGTGCGCCGGTGCGCGCCCGGGATCCGAACCCTGGGCCGCCAGCAGTGGAGCGCGCGCACTTAACCGCTAGGCCACGGGGCCAGCCCTCATTTCTCATTTTTATAAGATACATTTGGTAGTTATTTAATAATTAGCAAAGGACATTTTCACGTCAAACTCAGAACTGAGCAAATTTCTGAATATTGAGGGATGAGTTGTATTTTGGCTGTAGTGCCAAAAAGAATCACTGATTTTCTTTCAGAGTCATATAAATTTGAAAGAGATAGACTTCTTTAAATAACCTTACAAGTATAAATTATTGAGAAAATACATGACAAAGCTTTGCTTTCTTTTTTCTACTATCGTAGGCATAAAACCATGAATACTATATTTATATTCACAAATTTATAGAAAAGTTTCAAGTACAGTAACTTTTCAAGTACAAAGAACTTTTTTCCCCTTAATCTTTTGAGAGTAAGTTGCTATTTTGTGAGGAGTTACTTTGAAATTATATAAAACCCTGTTTCTCATTAGACTCTCGACTGATTGATTAATATTTGTGTAGACTTAGAGTTTTCTATTTTATTCAATGGGTTATAATCTGTTACAAACATTTGATGTTCAAATTGTCCCAGATGTAGCCAGTGGGAGTCCCTTCAAACTGGTTTATGTTTGTATGTGTGTGTGTTGCTTTTTTTAAAACATATCTCCATCATTCTTGGAGCAATTCCTTATTTTCTAGCACACTACTTTAGGGCTTATCTGTATTTTCTTTGCCCTACACTTGGGACCAATAATTTCTCCAAAGAGTCCTGATTCCTTTTAGTGGAGAATGGTATTTAGAAGTCAAAATCTGTGTATTAGGTGTACTCATTGCTATTGAGGTATGGATACTTCCAGGTCTTCTCAGTGTACAGAGGTAGGGAATATATGTGTGTATACATATAGACATACATACTTACATCTATATTTATTTCTCTATCTACCTATACATATTGAAAACCAATGATATCATACTAAACCTCCAATTCCACTCTACTCCAATTCCAATACTACAGGGTTCGTTCGGGTTTTCTCCTTTTCTGTATTTGTAAATCCCTTTTCTGACAATGAGAAGCTTCATTATCTTTAATATTTTTATTTATTTGATCAATCCTCCATATATAACATTCTCCCATCTCCAGCACCACCCTTCCCCCATGCATATGACTTTTTCACCCTAATTTGGCTTTGACAACTCCTTCTAGACCAACTCCCTGCCCCCACCAAGCTGGCATCTCCCTCATCCAGATCAAACCCTGATACCCCATTTGCTGCCCCTACCCAGTGGGGACACTCTCCTCATCTTGCTCAGACTGACACTCCATGCTGTCCTCATCTCTGCATAGATGCTCTTCTCATCCTGTTTAGGTTCTGACCCCCTGCAGTAGTCTGTCCCCCAGCACGGACTCTCTCTGTACCCTGCTCATCTTCTGATTCCCCATGCTAGGCTACTTCTTGCATGGATGCTCTTCTCACCTGGCTTAGGCTCTGACACTCCAGACTAGGCTGCTCCTCCTTCCTCATCTCATTCAGGTTTTGACACCCCTCTCTGGGTCACTGTTCCCCAACCTCCTCTCTCTCCAGCATGGATACCCATCTTGCTCTAGCCCACCTAATGACATTAGGACTGAAGGGGAAGGGAAGGTTTCACATGAATTTATAATAGTAGAATTAATTCACTTAATTTATGCTACAAACTCATTCCCAAATTGTAGAAATATTCAGGTGAAATATTCATTATGCTCTACACCTATTCTCAGCATGTGACGATCCACCTTAGACAAAAAAGGGAGGTGAAAATTAACGACGCTCAAGTTAGAGGTCCACAGGCTTGGACAAAACTCCCACAGTTTATAAGTGGGCTGGCAGGGTTATGGACCTGATTGCTAAAATAAAACTCACAATTTAGTAAAATCCCGCAAGGTATTCTTAAGAAGCTGTGCTTTATAATATTTAGTAGGCCACCAAAACTTTCACAATAAAGGGTAAATGATAAAATGAAATTAATTTAGATTTTGTTAAAAGCTGCTAAAAGTTATAAATAGAAACTGTAACTCACAACATTTATAACAGTCACACAAAATAAGTTAGGGCACTGCAGACATGCTACTTACTTACTTTATCTACACAATCATCAAAAAATGCCAGGCTTGCATCTTTATCACTGACAAAAGAACATTCCTCAATGAAGCGAATAAACATTTGTGTTTTGGTCATCATGTTATAGAATTTTTGATGTGACCGGTCCCGGCTTCTTAAGAAAGCTGTTCAACATAAATTTATAATATCAGAATATATAATATCATTTATAGATACACAGAATATTTGAGCTAGAAGGATCAACAATGTCATCTACACCCCCCTATACCCCATCATTTTGCAGAAAAAGAACTAAGACCCCTGTGAGGGGAAGTGTCCTGACAAAGATAGCAATAGGAAAGGAACTTGAACTCAGATCTTTCAAATCCTCATCCAGAATTGTCTCTGTTGTCCTCTCACTACCTTGAAGATTACACATAAACTAGTAAATTTTAAAGCATTTTAAAAATTGTTATTTTCCCTCCAAATGTGTTACACACTATGTGCACGTGGCACACTCTCTCTCTCCATATATATATGTGGCTTTTTCAAAGCAGCAGTTACAGCCCCTCTAGTATTCATTTATGTTTGTGTCTTACTTATTGAAACAGAGTAAAAGTTTATTTCCTGATTTCATGCTCCACCTTGCTCACTATGCTTAGTTACATTATACTTGGGCCTTCTTTTGGGCCCATGAACTCAAACCCTTTCCAGCCTCAGGGACTTTGCACAAACTGTTCTCTCTGACTAAAACACTCTTCTACTTTCCCTTTGCCTGGCTAATTTCTACTCATCCTTTAGATCATGGCTCAGATGTGAACTCTTCAGAAGGGCCTTCTGTGATCTAAAGTGTTCATTCATATTATTTTCAAATTGCTTATCTTCTTGACCATAGGCTCCACGGGAGAAGCGACCATGTATCTTTTGCATACCACTATATACCCAATGCCTAGTATTTGGAGGCACTCAATATATGCTTATTAAGTGAATTTTTCTTTCAAATGTTAAATATTGCAAAAGAAAGTAAATATGTAGTGTGACACAAATTGCACTCCAGGGCTTCCCGACCTTTTTTACTTCGTGGCACAGACAGAAAATGATATTTGTAAAGCATACTGGAGTAAAACAAATGAGGCTGCTCAAGCCTGGAGATGACTATTTCAAGGGTTCCTTGCATCCCCAACATTGCCTGGCTGCCCTGAAGGCTAAAAGCATCACTATCTCAACACACCTGTGACACAACAGAGTGCTGTAGTACATGGTTAGGAACTTTGTACTTTTCTGTAGTTGCTTCTGCATATTTTGCTAATGGGATTATATCTAATGTGCCTGAGAAATAACTAGTCCCATGGAAATGGTTTACCAACAGAGTTGATATTCAGAGTTGATACTCCTGAAATAGGTACACATGTTGATAAATATAAGCTATTAACCCAGAAAGCAACCGAATCATCACAAGACTAAGCTTAATAATATGAAAGCTGTAAAACTAGGCAATCACTCACCTTGCAGGGCAAAAAGAGAGGTTGCATCTGTGGCTGTCTCAGATGGGGCCTGTGTTATTGGTCTTAAGTACGATCTATAACCTTTTAAAATAGAGGCCATGAAACACAAAAATGCCTCTTGGATTTCCAAATCTATCATGTGCAACCTCTTTCCAGAATTAAAATCATAGTCATTCATTGCTAAGTCCATTAGTCCATCTTCTCTTGGTCTCTGCTGCACTGTGAAGAAATACAGTGTTAGTGATTTCTCCAAGCTATCAAAACTCAAGTTCATTAAGAAATCAACATAAATTTGTTGTATCTGTTAAGTCAAGTCATTGTGCTGTACACCTTAAACTTACACAGTCCCGTATGTCAATTACATCTCAATAAAATCGAAAGAAAAAAATAATTTTGTTGTGTTTTCAAAAGAGCTCAGGCTACCTCAGTTCTTTGTTCATCTAACTTCATAATATGTATACCCTAGGAAAGCTTGCCATATCATTTTTTAGGCTCTGCTGAATACATTTCACCAAAATTAAACATAAAATTGTCCCTGTTTATCTGACTACCATCAGAAAAAATGTTCATGTTCTGAAATAACTATATATAAACTAATAAATGAAGATCATAACAACCATATAAACTGGACACAGGATAAATGCAGTAGTCTCTCCTTCTCTCTTTTGTTTTTTTAAATATAAGTGCCTACAGGAAGAACACAGAGGGATTAAAACATGAAAAATAACTCTTTCTCTTCCTGAACAATTCAATGCTAAAGCCATTAGGCAGTAAAAGAGTAAATTTACAGTAGAGAAGCCTAGTAGACAGCACCCTAATAAAGTGATCAAAATAAACATCTTCATCAATAATGGGACAAACTGAAATAGTGTGTGATCTGATAAGGATGCTATGAAAGGAATGCAGCCTCACTTCTGTGACGTGCCAAATATGCACGACGTGTATTTATCATGAGGACACTCAGACAAACCCACGTCATGCACCATTCTACAAAAGTAAGTACAATCTGCAAAAATGTCAAGAAAATGAAGAAAAAAAATCAAGGAACTGTTTAGAGAAGAGTAAAGAGACTTGAAACTAAATACCACACCTAATTTGGAAATAGATGCTTTTGCTATAAAGAACATTATTAAGGTAATCGGTAAAACAAGAACCTGGTCTGAGGATAAGGATGGCAGTAATACTCAACTTTAACTTCCTGATTTTCATAGTCATACTGTAGTGATGTAGGAGAACGTACTTATTGGTAGGAAATACATTCCATTCAGAGGTGATGGAGTATCTGTTCTCAAAGGGTGAGGGAAAAGTTTGTGATTGCTTCAAAATTTAAAAACTTTTTAAAATATGAGGAATAATTAATCATCTTAGAGAGGTTCTTATGGAGTTCTTATTGTCTAAAAAAGAAAAGTACTAGAAAGAACACAGGCATTAGAACAGAAGGCCTAGGTTTTAATTCTATCTTCACCCTTGTTAACTGCAGGATCTCTGACAAGCTACTTTACCTCCCTCAATGTTATTATCTTCATAATTGTAAAGATAAAAAAATGTGTGTGAAAGTGCTTTGAAGCTGTAAAGTGTTATACAACCCTTAACTATCAGTATTGTTTAAAAGTCTGTAGTTTTAAGCTTTAAGATTCTGCCCTTCAGTAGAGCTGGATGGGTTATTTCACTGATTTTAAGAATATTTAAATATTGCTACAAAAGCTGCTGCACTTCTCAGCTATTCAAAAGAAGCGTATGCACTTTTAGAAAGCAATTAACTAAGTAGCTTAAATAAACTTCCGTACATAATTTATTTGTTCCATAAGATAAAATTTTGTTCTATTTGACGTCATTTTTTTATATC